GAACTGAAAAATCTGAAACAGCCTAAAGAACTAAAGAACATTTTGGGATTGACAACAGAGACTGCTACCTCAGTCACAAATAAGGGGACTGTAGGGAAAGGAGCAAAACTGCATGTAGAAGCTCAATCAGTGGAGACTGTAGTAAATGAAAGAGCTAAGCTATATGTGGAGGCCCTAACAGACCACAGCAGAGCCCAGGGAAAGCCGAGAAGGGAAAATGACAGGCCACTGAGCCCAAGTACATTAGCTAGTGAAACTGAAGAAAGGAAAGCTGCAATGGAGGAAATCAAATTGAATGAGGGGATACACAGGGACATGCAGTGGGAGAATGAAAGGGTGAGGTCAGTCTTTGTGTATGGGCTCCAGGAAGTTGAAGGGGAAACATAGGAAGCAAGAAAACAAGGGGAAAAAAAAGCAATTGAAAGCATCATGAAAGCAATAGGAGAAGACGACATGACCCAGCTGGAAAATTTTCGGAGAATAGGGGGGTTTGTAAAAAAAAAAGAACCCGGCCAGTGAAAGTGACCTTCAAGGCAGAATCGACTCGGAACAGGATCCTGCAGGAGAAAGCACGATTAAGGGACATGCCGGCATACAGGAAGGTGTATCTCGACCGCAACAGAACACAAGCAGAAAGGCAGAAACAGAGAGAGATGGTACAAAGGTGAAAGGAGGAAAGAGAGGGGATGGAGAAGACAGACAGGAGATCCCAGACACAGGAAGATCAAATACAGCCTCCCTCACAACTTCCTATAGAAGCCTCCCAACCAGGTCAACCCCAGTGCAACCAAACACTCTAAACCAAAACACCCATGCCACATCCAATGCCCCACCCACTGCATTACAAAAACTCCACACCCACAGCAACCACCCATAGTTCCTTATCAGGTCTCCCACTTCCCCAACCCCAATACATCTCCCAGACCACAATCTTAAAAAAGAAGTTGAAGGTGTGGTATACAAATGCAGATGGAAAACAAATAAGTATGAGGAGTGGCACAAAGAATCAAGGAGACATCCCCAGACGTAATAGCACTCACAGAAACAAAACTCACCAGAATAATAACAGACTCAATCTTTCCATCCGGATATCAAATCCTCAGGAAAGACAGAGGAGGAGAGGGGGAGGAGGAGTTGCACTGCTCATTAAAAACCAGTGGGGGTTTGAGAAAATGGAAGGAATGGATGGCACGGGCGAAAGGGACTACTTAGTAGGAACAATCCAGTCTGAGGGACATAAGGTAATAATTGCAGTAATGTACAACCCACCACAGAACTGCAGGAGGCCAAGAGAAGAATACGATGAGAGCAACAGAGCAATGGTCGACACACTAGCCGAGGTGGCCAGGAGAGCACACATGGGGGGAGCAAAGTTACTAGTTATGGGTGATTTCAATCACAAGGAGATTGACTGGGAAAACCTGGAGCCCCATGGGGGTCCTGAAACATGGAGAGCCAAGATGATGGATGTGGTACTGGAAAACCTCATGCATCAACATGTTAGAGACACTACCAGAGAGAGAGGAGAGAATGAACCAGCAAGACTGGACCTTGTATTCACCTTGAGTAGTTCTGACATCGAGGATATCATGTATGAAAGGCCCCTGGGAGCCAGTGATCATGTGGTTCTGTGCTTCAACTACATCGTTGAGCTCCAAGTGAAGAGAGCAGCAGGAATAGGGTGGGAAAAACCAAACTACAAAAGGGGGAACTACTCAGGCTTGAGGAACTTCTTTCAAGACATTCAGTGGGAGAGGGAACTGACAAGAAAACCAGTACAAGAAATGATGGACTATGTGGCAACAAAATGCAAGGAGGCAGAGGAGAGGTTTGTTCCCAAGGGAAACAGAAATAATGGGAAGGACAGAACAAGTCCTTGGTTCACCCAAAGGTGTAGGGAGGCAAAAACTAGGTGTACTAGAGAATGGAAAAGGTACAGAAGACAGAGAACTCAGGAAAATAAAAAGATTAGCCGAAGAGCCAGAAACGATTATGCACAGATAAGAAGGGAAGCTCAGCGGCAATACGAAAATGACATAGCATCGAAAGTCAAGACTGACCCAAAGCTGTTGTACAGCCACATCAGGAGGAAAACAACAGTCAAGGACCAGGTAATCAGACTGAGGAAGAGTGATGGGGAATTCACAAGAAACGACCGGGAGGTATGTCAGGAGCTCAACACAAGATTTAAAGAAGTATTTACAGTGGAAACCAGTAGGGCTCCAGGAAATCAGAGCAGGGGGGTGCACCAGCAAGTGCTGGATGAGGTACATATAACCAAGGAGGAGGTGAAGAAGCTGCTATGCGAACTTGACACCTCAAAGGCGGTGGGACCAGACAACATCTCTCCGTGGGTCCTTAAAGAGGGAGCAGAGATATTGTGTGTAACCGTTAAAACAAAGATCTTCAACACATCATTTGAAACTGGGCAACTCCCTGAGGTATGGAAGAGGGCAAATGTAGTCCCAATTTTTAAAAAGGGAGACAGACATGAGGCACTAAACTACAGACCTGTATCACTAACGTGTATAGTATGCAAGGTCATGGAGAAGATCATCAGGAGAGTGGTGGAGCACCTGGGAAGAAACAAGTGTATAATTGACAACCAGCATGGTTTCAAGGAGGGAAAATCCTGTGTCACAAACCTACTACAGTTTTATGACAAGGTGACAGAAGTAAGACAAGAGAGAGAGGGGTGGATCGACTGCATTTTTTGGACTGCAAGAAGGCCTTCGACACAGTTCCTCACAAGAGGTTACTGCAAAAGCTAGAGGATCAGGCACACATAACAGGAAAGGCACTGCAATGGACAAGAGAATACCTGACAGGGAGGCAACAACAAGTCATGGTACGTGACGAGGTGTCAGAATGGGCGCCTGTGACAAGCGGGGTTCCACAGGGGTCAGTCCTAGGACCTGTGCTGTTCTTAGTATATGTGAATGACATAACGGAAGGGATAGACTCAGAAGTGTCCTTGTTTGCGGACGATGTGAAGTTAATGAGAAGAATCAAATTGGATGAGGATCAGGCAGGACTACAAAGAGACCTGGACAGGCTACAAGCCTGGTCCAGCAACTGGCTCCTTGAGTTTAACCCTGCCAAATGCAAAGTCATGAAGATTGGGGAAGGGCAAAGAAGACCGCAGACACAATATAGTTTAGATGGCCAAAGTCTGCAAACCTCACTCAAGGAAAAAGATCTGGGGGTGAGTATAACACCGAGCATATCTCCCGAGGCGCACATCAATCAGATAACTGCTGCAGCATACGGGCGCCTGGCAAACCTACGGATAGCGTTCCGATACCTCAGTAAGGATTCGTTAAAGACTCTGTATACCATTTACGTCAGGCCCATACTGGAGTATGCAGCACCAGTTTGGAATCCACACCTAGTCAAGCATGTCAAGAAATTAGAGAAAGTGCAAAGGTTTGCAACAAGACTAGTCCCAGAGCTACGGGGATTGTCCTACGAAGAAAGGTTGAGGGAAATCGGCCTGACGACACTGGAGGCCAGGAGGGTCAGGGGAGACATGATAACAACATATAAAATACTACGCGGAATAGACGAGGTGGACAAAGACGGGATGTTCCAGAGATGGGACACAGACACAAGAGGTCACAAATGGAAGTTGAAGACTCAGATGAATCAAAGGGATGTTAGGAAGTATTTCTTCAGTCACAGAGTAGTCAAGCCGTGGAATAGCCTAGAAAGTGAAGTAGTGGAGGCGGGAACCATACATAGTTTTAAGGCGAGGTATGATAAAGCTCATGGAGCAGGGAGAGAGAGGACCTAGTAGCAGTCAGTGAAGAGGCAGGGCCAGGAGCTATGAATCGACCCCTGCAACCACAAATAGGTGAGTACAAATAGGTGAGTACACACACACACAACACACACACACACACACACACACACACACACAACACACAACACACAACACACACACACACACACACACACACACACACACACATACACACACACACACACACACACACACACACACACACACACACACACACACACACACACACACACACACAACACACACACAGCAGGTTAATAAGGAAAACACTGCCTTACCCTTGTCAGAGCTCACACTAAGTAGAGCTCACTAGGGCTACTTGATAACTAGAGCTCCCTAAGACTACTCATGATAACTAGAGCTCTCTAAGATTACTCATGATAACTAGAGCTCTCTAAGATTATTCATGATAACTAGAGCTCCCTAACAACGATGATAACCCAGTGTGAGGACAGAACCACAGCTTAAAGAACAAGCCTTGAGAAAATCCTTCACTCTGTGTCAAGCTTCAAGTCATAAATCTCTACAGAGAAAGCTGCAGCACTCTCAGCTAGTAACGACTCACAAAATCGTAATAACACAAACGAATCACATTATTATTATTATTATAATCAAGGGGGAAGCGCTAAACCTGTAGGATTATACAGCGCCTGGGGGGGGGATGTGGAAGGCATTCAGGCTTAATTTGGGGAACTGGAGCACAGATCCAATTCCCTAAATCAAGAGCCCCTCACCAACATCAAGGAACCTTCCCTGAGGGGAAACGAATCACAGACCGGGTGGGATCTGAATCCACATGGGTTCGAACCCCACCCGTTGCCTGGTTTTTCCCAGGTAGTACTCCAAGCTGTGCCTCAGTCCCCCAGTAGGTCAGTCCCTGCTCACTCCTCCACACATACTTACTTTCTGTAAGAAAGATAACAGAAGTTACTTAAGATCCATGCCAGGTAAATACTTGGTATTTACAAGTAACAATACCATGGTTGGGACAATTAACAAATAAATACCATGGCTGGGATAATTAACAAATAAATAAATACCATAGCTGGAACAACTGACAAATAAATCATAATACCATGGCTGGAATAAGTCACGATACCATGATTGGAACAAATCATAATACCATGATTGTAAGTGCTCCTCTGAATGACAATATCCACAGAATTAACAACAAAAAAACTACCCTGAGAGTATTTACCTGTTCTGGGCTCGAAGATCAGCAATATATTCAAAATTCGGAGTTAGTCGGCCACCGCTGGTTATAAAAGCCTGAAAGAATTCCAAAAAAAAAAAAAAATTGTAAATAAACAGAAGACTAAGCGGGAAGCTCGAACCATATTCCTGGTATTTTTTTAATTTTTAACACATCGGCCATTTCCCACCAAGGCAAGGTGATGCAAAAAAGATGAAACACTTTCACCATCATTCACTCCATCACTGTCTTGCCAGAGGCGTGCTAATGCTACACTGACAACTGTTCATTATGATTTATCTTAACCCTTAAACTGTCCAAACGTAGATCTACGTTTTTTCAACATTTGAAAGTACAGTGGTCCCCCGCTTTTCGTAGTTCCCGGCAATCGTAAATTTCGCCAATCATAGGGGTATTTTCGTATAAACATGGACTCGCTTTTCATAGGTTGACTCGCGAGTCGTAGTTCATCCGGGACGCGTACCCATGGCGTGAGCCGGGGCGGCAGCCAGTCTGGCATTGTTTACCAGTGAGCGAAGGTCCCCTCACGTGCTCCAGCGAAATATTTCATAATATTCCATTTATTATAGTGCTTGCAAGTACTAAATAAGCTACCAGGGCTCCAAAGAAAGCTCCTAGTGCCAAAGCCTGTGGTTAAAGAAGGTGAGAAATATGACTGAATTTAAGAAAACCATCACTGAACAATATGAAAGTGGTACAAGTGTGGCCGAACTGGCCAGGATGTATAAGAAACCCTACACAACCTTATGTTCCATAGGGGCCCAAAGAAAAAGGAAATAAAGGTGCTGTTGTTGCAAAGGGAGTAACTATGCTGAGAAAAATGAGATCACCATTTACTGGAAGAGGTTGAGAAGTTATTATTGGTGTGGATAAATGAGAAACAATTAGCAGGAGATACTCTATGACTTTGATTATTGTAAAAAGGGCTAGGCAGTTGCATGAAAAATTTGGTAAAGAAATTGCCTGCAAATAGTGGTGATGTGAGTGAATTTAAGGCCAGCAAAGGCTGGTTTGAGAGATTTAAGAACCATACTGGCATACACAGTGTATAAGGCATGGTGAGGCTGCCAGTTTGGACCACAAGGCGGCTGAAAAATATTGCATGAATTCCAGGAGTACATAGAGGGCTGAAGGACCCGAAACCTGAACAAGTGTTTTAATTGGACAAAACAGGCCTCTTTTGGAAGAAAATGCCAAGAGGACCTTCATTACACAAGAGGGGAAAAAGGGACTGCCAGGACACAAGCCTATGAAAGACAGGCTGACACTAATGTTCTGTGCTAATACTAGTGGGATTTCAAAATGAAGCCATTACTAGTGTACCATTCTGAAAATCCCAGAGTGTTCAGGAAAAATAATGTTATGAATAGTAAATTGTGTGTGTTTTGGAAATCTAATAGTAAGGCATGAGTCACGAGGAAATTTTCTGCAAGTGGTTCAATGAAGTGATTGGCCCTAGTGTGACGGAGTATCCCTCCTGGAAAAAGAAATTTGGATCTCAAGTGCCATCTAGTAATGGACAATGCCACCTGCCTCCATGCCTCCAAAACTTGGATGAACCTAATTTTCCGAGGACTTGGATTCTTCACAGTAAAGTTCTTGCCCCCAAATACCACGTCCTCTCCTCCAACCCATGTGACCAGCAGGTATTGCAAACTTTAATGTGTTTCACACAGTGCTTGACGTGACACACAGACACTCACCTTGACCCTAAGGGAATTTTGGAGCGAACACTCAGCATCCTCCACTGCAAAACCCTTATGTGTGATATGGCTGTGGGAGGTGAGTGACTACAAGGACTTTGAACTCTGCCTGGAGAAAATTGTGGCCATATTGGTGTCGACAAGAGGATTTTTTGAAGATTTGGGACTGACCCCTAATGAGCCTATGTCTTTTTAAAATCAATTTGGTGGCACTGGGGATTTCCATGGGGGATGGATGTAGTTTTAGGAGGATGTGGAAGAATTGGTGGAAAGACCACCATGAAGTGCTCACACACGAGGAGCTGCAAAGAGCTTCATCAGGAAGAGCACCACATGCAGCTCAGAATCTTGCGTGCAGAAGAGGAAAAGAGAGATTGAAGAAGGTGCCTTCTACCAGAAATTAAATAGATTTTTACTATGTGGGGTAATGGAAAGCTTTTATGGAGAAACACCACCAAACAAGTGTTGCAAGCCAGGTTGCAAAATGTACAGTGACCAAAGTCTTGGCCATTTTAGGGAAGTGTTAAAGAGACCCGAAACAGCGCCTCTTCACAATTATTTTGTGAGACATGACTCCAATGACTCACAAGGTGGTCCTAGTGCATTAAGAAACAGAGAAGACAAGCAAAACCCCAGAAAAGCAACAGGTACCTGAGGTGGGGGGGTGTGTAAGGGATTTCCCCCTTCCCAAACTATAAACACTGCACTCTCTCACCATCCTCCAGTCTCCCATACACTATGAAGAATCTCCAATGCAAGGTAAGTGTTATGCTGTTAATGTTTCATTCAGTCATTTACCATTGTTTTGTTTATGTACTACATGTGTATTTCATGTAAAAACATTTTTTGTTTTAATACTTCTGAGTGTCAGGAACGGATTAATTGTATTTACATTATTTCTTATGGGGAAAATTGATTCTAAATCGTAAATTTCGTTATAGGTACGGCTCAGGAACCGATTAAATTACGAATCCACGAGGGACCCACAGTATGCAAAAAAAGTAGATCTTTTTTTTTTACATTTGAAAACGTGTAAAAAACTTTGATCTACATGAGTGGGTGTGGGTGGGTGTGAGTTGGACCTGACTAAGCTTGTGTTGCGCAGGGTTGGTGACAGTGCTCCTGTCCTTGAGTGGAGGTGACCAGACTGGGTGGGTCATTGGCTAATCTGGGCGGGTGGGTCATTGGGCAAATCCAGGGGGGGGGGTCATTTGGGCTAAATCTTGGGTGGGGGGGTCATTGGTTTAATGCAGGTGGGGTGGTCATGGGGCTAATCCATGGGGTGGGTCATTGTGCTAATCCAGGGGGGTGGGTCATTGTGCAAATCCAGGGGGGGTGGGTCATTGGGCTAATCCAGGGGGGTGGGTCATTGGGCTAATCTGGGGGGGGACATGAACCTGCTCTGTATGGGCCAGTAGACCTGTTGCAGTGTTCCTTCTTTCTTATGTTATTATGTAAAAGAAACATAGATCTACTTTTGGAGCACTACGCATGTGAACGTAGATCTGCTTGGACAGTTTAAGGGTCAAAGCATATATAGAACCCCTGTATCCGTGGATTTGGTTTCCGTGGTTTCAGTTATCCACAGTTTACTGTGGCTCAAAAATAACTCTTAATTTTGCTTAATAAAGATGGCCCCAAAGTGAGAAAATAATGATGGTGGAAGATGTTCAGAGTCTAAGAGAAGTCGTCAGATGCTTTCCGTCAGTGAAAAGGTGATAATTCTCAACTTATTGTGTATAATTTATCAATTAATAATAATAATAATAATAATAATAATAATAATAATAATAATAATAATAATAATAATAACATATTTACTACAAGTACATGTACAAGGTATACAAGTACATGTACAAGGTATACAAGTACATGTACAAGGTATACAAGTACATGTACAAGGTATACAGACCATAACTGACATCAATGACATACTACTATATAGAAAGTCCTTTGTTATGCTGAGCATTTCTCCACTAACACCCAGGATACATAATTGGTCGCATTAGGAGCTGATCGTAAACCGGGGGTCCACTGTATATGTACAGGGTATACAGGACTAGCTGACATCAATGACATATTACTATATAGAAAGCCACTTGTTATGCTGAACATTTTGCACAAATAAGGTCACTTTTGTTCAGGATGTGACCCACACCAGTCCACTAACACCCAGGATGTGACCCACACCAGTCCACTAACACCCAGGATGTGACCCACACCAGTCCACTAACACCCAGGATGTGACCCACACCAGTCCACTAACACCCAGGATGTGACCCACACCAGTCCACTAACACCCGGAATGTGACCCACACCAGTCCACTAACATCCAGGATGTGACCCACACCAGTCCACTAACACCCAGGATGGGGACCCACCCCAGTCCACTAACACCCAGGATGTGACCCACACCAGTCCACTACACCAAGGATGTGCCCCCAACCAGTCCACTAACACCCAGGATGTGACCTACACCAGTCCATTAACACCCAGGATGTGACCTACACCAGTCCACTAACACCCAGGATGTGACCCACACCAGTCCACTAACACCCGGGATGTGACCCACACCAGTCCACTAAACCCAGGATGTGACCCAACCAGTCCACTAACACCCAGGATGTGACCCACACCAGTCCACTAACCCCCAGGATGTGACCCACCCCAGTCCACCAACCCCCAGGATGTGACCCACACCAGTCCACTAACACCCAGGATGTGACCTACACCAGTCCACTAACACCCAGGATGCCACCCACACCAGTCCACTAACACCCAGGATGTGACCCACACCAGTCCACTAACATCCAGGATGTGCCCCACACCAGTCCACTAACACCCAGGATGTGACCCACACCAGTACACTAACACCCAGGATGTGACCCACACCAGTCCACTAACACCCAGGATGTGACCCACACCAGTCCACTAACACCAGGATGTGACCCACACCAGTCCACTAACACCCAGGATGCCACCCACACCAGTCCACTAACACCCAGGATGTGACCCACACCAGTCCACTAACACCCAGGATGTGACCCACACCAGTCCACTAACACCCAGGATGTGACCCACACCAGTCCACTAACACCCAGGATGTGACCCACACCAGTCCACTAACACCCAGGATGTGACCCACACCAGTCCACTAACACCAGGATGTGACCCACACCAGTCCACTAACACCCAGGATGTGACCCACACCAGTCCACTAACATCCAGGATGTGACCCACACCAGTCCACTAACACCCAGGATGTGACCCACACTAGTCCACTAACACCCAGGATGTGACCCACACCAGTCCACTAACACCCAGGATGTGACCCACACCAGTCCACTAACACC